TTCACCAACTTCGTAACAGAAGGAAAGCTCTTCAGCCGACAGGTAAGCGGAGAAATCAGTGTCATTTCTTGAATTGTGTTTTCAGATTACGACAACTTATACACAATCATGATGATTGACGTTGATCCTAACGTAAAGGAATATGGCAACAGTAAATATCCATTCTTAATGTGGCTCGTAGTCAACCATTACCACGATTTTGCTGTGCTGTCGCATTTTAACCAGGCTTCAGTTGAAATATTTCCTTACCTCAAGCCGCTTCCCAGAGGCGAATTTCTGCATCGCTATGTAATTTTGCTATTGCATCAGGAAGACGGTCTTATTACAGAATATCATCCTGATTTCTTCAGCTCGTCATCCTGCCCAGTCAGTTCAAAAGGACGGTATACGACTCTACCAATTAAACTGTACTTTATATGTTAAAATATTCCTTTATTCAGGTGCCATTTCAATGTAGAGACGTTTATGGCATATAATTCGCTGACCCTGCGAGGATTGAGCTGGATGTCCTCTCGCGAAGATATTTACGTAAGATATGAAACTCTCAGGGATAGAGTGTCCAAAAGAACAATTTGCGATGATAGTGTTGATGGCACCGATAGCACGTGCTACACGAACACAGTAACTCTTGAAACACACTCCTCGTCGCTTAAATCGCACGCAATGAATTTTCACTTTCCTCCTTGCATATGCCATTTTATAGGTGTTGTAACCGTTGCTATTTGGAATTGTTTTTAGCAATTATTAAATAAAGCTTCCGGTTGGTAAATCATCCATTTCCTTGCAAAATTGCAACTGTTGCAATCTGCCCGAAATTTTTTGTATGTGGAATTATTTCGATGCCAATGGGCTGGACTTCTCCTGTTCGCGTTGCCTTTTGAAATGCAACGGGCTGTAAAGCGATGAACAAAAATATGTTACAGATAATTCCTCGTTGAATGCTCGCTTTTATCTTTTTTTTCAGTGCTGCACACTGCACTCCTGAATGTCACTCAGAAGCTCTCTGAATTACGACAATTTGTTTATGCCAACTGATTTGCTGAATAATTGGTAACTGCGTTGTCTCATCTACATTCCAACATGAATGAAAGCTGGAGATGTAAATCTTATTCCTAATGCAGTCCATTTTATCACTACGTAATTTGCAAATATGCGCAGATCTCAAGTCAACCTGCAAGTTAATTCTGTAATAAAGTAATTTAGAGTCCGTAAGCAAAGATAGGACATCAGGTAACTATTTATCTCTCTTAATGACTTTGGAATAACAGAATAACAGACACTTGTAATCGATTAAACTGCACATTGTCTTTCGTTATTAGCATTGAGGAAAAGCAAGATTTATGAAAGGTCGACCAATCCAACAAGAAATGCTACCATATCGTTGTATGTTAGCATTATTAGCCAGATCACTAAAATGTATTCACATTGATTTTCGGCAATTGCAATGACAGTAAAGTGTTAGTAGTGCAAACCTGTTGCAAATGCAGGTGAACGAACGAAATTATGGACAACGACAACAAAAATAAATGTAATGCTGTTTTAAATGGTAGCATAATCACAGGTTCGGAACTAACTTTTTGCACTGCATTTCTCTGGTGCTGACTATATAGAACCATATATATTATAATTCAGGTATATGAATTAATTTATTTTCTATCCGTTTCTTCATGTAATATTAGGCGAGTTTATTGCTTACTCTTTGAGCAAGATTGCTTGATTTCAAGCAAAAAGAGACAACGCACGAGTTATTGACTTTTACCTGATTTATTCAGTATCGCAAGGAGGCCTGGTATATATGTTTTTCGAGATATTAACAACTTCTTCTGGTACCCCGTCACTTGTTAACAGCTCCCTACGGGGTTCGCGGTCTGGAGAATCGAAAGCTGTCTCAAAATGGACCAAGCCGATAAACAGTGGTTTATAATATCGTTTGTTCGTTTCCAGCGAAAGACACAATGCTAGAATGTGGTCGATGGTCGATCGGTCCGGACGAAAGTCAGAATGTTCTTCTCTGGTGGTATTCTCTCCGTAAGGTCGAATTCTTCTGACGATAACCCTTTGAGTGTATCGCAGAGGAAGCTGATTCCTCTGTAATTTTGGACATCAGATACAGCGCCTTCTTTATGTTTCGAAATAATCACTGCCTGACTTCACTCTCACGGCATTGCTTCCGTTTGTCAAATCTCGTAAATGATTTTCGGCATCATCTGCTCTCCTATGTTGGACATATGTTTCAGCAGTTACGCGTTAACTTTGTCTGGTACAGCTGCTTTACCGTTTAGCCCTTTTTAGAGCATTCATAATCTCTTTGCTGGTAGGTACATAAACGCTGCAGTCATAATCTGATGTCGTACTTCGCTGAAAGCAAAGCTTCGAAGTGGCTATCTGGGGTCGATTCAAAAGTTGCTGGAAATGTTCCCAAAATCGCTCGGCATATTTAAGATCTATGAACAAGTGCGATCCACCTTCGAACCAATGAAAGATGAGCTGGTATTTTTTCTGAAGCCGTATTGCCGGATTAAGGCAAGCACTCATCTAAGGTTGTTGCAGTTGAACGCCATTTCCATAGCAGTAGCTCATTTTAGCCACAGTGCGTTCCTTTCTTCAGTCAGAGAGCATTTAAGTTCGGTTTCCTTTTTCGTTAATGCCTTATTTTCAGCAAGTCTGGTTCTTCCCTTTATCTGATCAGCTTCTCAGTCCTTCCTCCCGCAGATTGACAGGTACA